CTAGACAATAAGGGTAGCCCCATAGTCTGACACTAGTGACACAGGACTAGACAATAAGGGTAGCCCCATAGTCTGACACTAGTGACACAGGACTGGACAATAAGGGTAGCCCCACAGTCTGACACTAGTGACACAGGACTGGACAATAAGGGTAGCCCCATAGACTGAGACTAGTGACACAGGGCTAGACAATAAGGGTAGCCCCATAGTCTGACACTAGTGACACAGGGCTAGACAATAAGGGTAGCCCCATAGACTGAGACTAGTGACACAGGACTGGACAATAAGGGTAGCCCCATAGTCTGAGACTAGTGACACAGGGCTAGACAATAAGGGTAGCTCCAAAGACTGAGACTAGTGACACAGGACTAGACAATAAGTGTAGCCCCATAGTCTGACACTAGTGACACAGGGCTAGACAATAAGGGTAGCTCCATAGACTGAGACTAGTGACACAGGACTAGACAATACGTGTAGCCCCATAGTCTGACACTAGTGACAAAGGACTAGACAATAAGGGTAGCCCCATAATCTGACACTAGTGACACAGGACTGAACAATATGTGTAGCCCCATAATCTGACACTAGTGACACAGGACTGGACAATAAGGGTAGCCCCATAGTCTGACACTAGTGACACAGGGCTAGACAATAAGGATAGCCCCATAGTCTGACACTAGTGACACAGGGCTAGACAATTGGGGTAGCCCCATAGTCTGACACTAGTGACACAGGGCTAGACAATAAGGGTAGCCCCATAGTCTGACACTAGTCAAATCTCCGGCTGGACAAGGTGTTCTAAAAACTTCTAGCCCGATGGACTGGTCAAAATTTTGTATTGCTTATCTTGTTGAATAATATTAGGTTAGTTGGATTTGCACATGGACTAGTAAAATTTTGAAACCTAACTACCCCAATCTTGTTGAATAATATTGGGTTAGTGAAAAATATTAACTTGCCATCAAGGCTCCCAATGCAAGTATATTTGTAACCTATCAAAATTCATCATAATTGAAGTGGTTATTTTGATCTTTTACATCCCGTTTCCTTTTAACTAATGTTTATTGACTTTTATATTGCGGGCAGACATCATAAACCATGTCAGGACCCAGGCATTCTAGGCTGAAAAACTCTTGGACCCAGAAATGGCAAAACTAATTTTTAGCCCCCGTTCATTCACAATTACTACACATACCAGCCAGAATTTGTACTGTATAGCGATTATATTGGGCGGGGTTTTTATATTCACTATATTCACGTTTCGACTAAAATCTACCAATTCTAAACACCAGCAAAATATTTAGCACATCACTGATGTTATATAAAAGTGTCATAGAACCGTACCATTACATTGTGCTATCCATGCAACCTACTTAATGACAGTGACTTTCCGACAAGAGATTTTCAGCCCTTCCTTGGCTATAACATGGCTCTAAACTATGTACATGCACTTAATTTGTGACAACTTTTATGTCACAGTTTGTTTTGTACTCAACTGAAAATTAATATCTAAAACCACATATTTGACAAAAAATATCAAAAGTTTCATCATAAAATAAAGGAATATTACACTTTTAAACCATATAATGAAGTAACTGACTGCATGCCGGTCGGTATCTTCTTTTGATGTCATTATACTTGGCATTGGGTGTATTACTCAAAAACACATTGTGATTTGGCTTCCCAAAATTAATTGCCATATTGACCAAAATATGTATATGTAGTACACAGTGCCTCCATGTTAAAGTCCTGAATCATGGGTGCTGTTAGAACCATTTTATTTTACAAAATAAACTGGCAGTTTATTATAAATAATTCTTTATTTAAAACAAAATATTTCCTTCCACATTCAAACCCTCTGCACACTTCCATCTCGGCCAACAAGAGTGGTTAATATAAGTTTAGAAACTTGCTTCATAATTCTAGTGAAATAAAAAAGTCTATACTTATATACTGTCATATACCAAATCAATGAAGTTATGTCTTCTTAAACAAGTAGAGTGTACCAATACAAACCTGGCCACTTCCTCAAATGAATCGTGATCAAAATAGTTATAAAACGGTACCTTGCTAGGTGATTGGTGTCCTGCGTGCGACAGAGTGTGACTAACAGCTTCTCTTTCTCGGTAGGCACTTGAGCATGGAGGTACTTTTGCCAGATAAAGTCCCATTCGGGTAGCCCCCCATACTGTACGCCCGCTCGGTAAATCACACTCTTCAAGTTCACGTTCACCCTACAACGGAGCACTTGTGGTGTTCACTAGGTCAGTCAGCCATTCACCGACCACATATTGAAAGGATCGATTTACACAATGTTAAATCTCTATGGCCCAAGGATGCTTCACACCAAATATTGGCCAACATCCATCATGTTATTCATCAGGAGTAGTCTTTTAATTATATGTCATCTTCTGTTACCAATACCAATATATAGATAAAATCTGCCCCTAAGGTTTTAAAAAGTAGGCTTTCAAAGGAAAAGTTCATAATCAGACAATTCACCACGATGTGATTGAATTAACATAGCCTTTTACCAGGTGATCTAAATTACCTTACTTTGTCAATCCCTTATTCAAACAAACTTTTTGAGATATTTTCTCAGTGATAAGATGTTAGTTACAATATGGATGTTTTTATGTTGAAGAGAAATGGTGAATTTATACTAAAGATATGCAAATATTTTCTAAATATTGTTAAATATAACACTTCATTATATGGCGACTTACTTATCATGACGATACATCCAGTTTTCAAACATGTTTTTGCCCTTTTCAATGGTTGGTTTGTGTCCAAAGGCTAGCGCCTGGTTGATCACAAGAGATCGAAGGAATCTGGAAAGACAACAAAATAAGAGTGTGGTTTCTGAAAACAAATACTCAACAAAACAGGGGCATGGCTGTTTAAAACAAATTTCAATTTATTGTTTTTAATTTCATTGATTTTGTGGGTAATTTTCATCCCTGAATTCATAGGTCTACAAAGTAATTACAAGTTGATATAATGCAATTCTCCATTTGAGTAGGTACTGGTAACCACAAATTCATGTACCCACGAAATGGTGTTTTGTTGGGAAACCACAAATTTCGGCCCCACGAGAATATACGATTTCACAGTACAGTGTAGTTGAAATCTTTAAATCATTTTGAGTTTGATGTATAAGGTATGTATGGAAAGTTCAGAGTTTGGAATACAGATTCTGTGACTAAAGCATGCAGTAGGAAGTTCGTTTGTTCAAAGAAAGCTGTACTTGTCCATTATTTTTATCAACATCTGAACTTTTCATCTACAGTAAAACCTCTCTCTAATGCAACCATTTTCAAGCAAAATGATTGTGTAACAGAGGTCAATATTTTGTTTAATGCTTCCATTAGGATTTGAACCAGGGACCTCTGGTTTAGTAGTTTTAACGCTCTATCGAATGAGCTGAAGAGAAATTCTCCGTAGCAGAGTCGGTAGGAAGCGGCTAGTATTTTACCAGGGTGACATAACCTCCCCCCAGGAAAGAACTTGTCCTGAGGGGTCAAAGAGATTCTTTCAAACTGATCGCGGGTATTTTATTAATATTCTCTGGGTCCCTACATGGGCACCAATGAAACAGAGGTCATTATGTTCTCAAAGCCTCTGCCAGGAGTCAAACCCGGAACCTCTGGTTTGGTAGTCTTATACTCTACCAAATGAGCTGGATGGAAATTCTCCCTAGCCGAGTCGGGTGACATTTGTAATATGAAGGGGTTTGATTTGATGATACATCAAGAGAGACATATATATAAAGGAATTCTTAAGAAAACAGTACAAAGGAACATTGAAATATGCAGGCAGCAAGAGAGTTGGCCAATGGAAGGGGGGACAGTATTAAGAATTTGTTTCCCGCACTAATGACTTTTGCATGACAAAGTTACTATAAACTTGTTCTTAACTTTGTTAGCAACATATGAGTTGCAATATCATACCTTGGTATGTTTTTATAGTGATGTCATGATATAAAGTAGCATAAAAATGTCAATAAAATGGCATATATTACATTTTTAAAGTTTTGTCAGACATTATTGAAGGTTTTTATGCTGCCTTGAATTCCTCCTGGGTCTACTTACTTGTCCAGCTGTGGTCCATTTTCCTTCCAGCCAAGTCTGGCCAGTACCTGACCCATCAAACCTACAGTGTATTTCTACAACATACAACACACATTTAGTGTATATCTGAACATATACGTTGGATTTCTGTAACATTAAATACACAAAGTTTATTTCTGTAGTGTACTGTACAACAAACATTTTTGATGAAATTCTTCTCTTTTTCATTAGTACCATCAATTTAAGATTTGATTACAGAAACAGCTTTGGTCAGTGAAATTAACAGCTACGCATATTATCTAAGATGGTAAATTAATTTACAAACCTGAAGTTTGTCATAAACAGCTTTATTTCGGAGTCGTTCTCCAATGTAGTTGAGACAGTCTAGTGCTACACTCCAGGGGAGGTAATCCTGTTCCTTTTGCAGGTACTTTGTCATGTCTAATGCAAGGGTTTGCGATACCTTTTTAGCCCTGAAATACATATAGGATAGTTTTGTATCATAGTTAACAAATGTTAAATAACCTTAATGGGAATAATAAAGTACGGCATTGTTAAACAGTATGTGACATATTATCTCGGCTGCTTATTGGCCATTTCCTATAAAATAACTAGTTTCTAAATTCCGCAATATCAATATTTTATGTCGCGCTGTGATACATATAGAAATTACCTGGCCAGGTAGCACACATCATCTATGAGACCTGCTCGGTCAGCTGCAGAAAACACCTGGAATATAGTTATAAGATCTTCAATATCATGTCAAACCTGTGTTAATGAGGCGTTTAAAGCACACTGACAAAAGAATGTATTTATAGTCCAGGGATCTGAACTCTCACAGATAAAATGTAACAGGTTCTTAATCAAATCAAAGCTTGCCACTCTAAACAGTATATACATTTGTGTCAAATCCTGATAATTACAACAACAGAATAGAAATTGTAGAGTAAAATGCATACTGCCTGTGTGAGTTTTGAATTTTGGCAGTTGGTTTGAAAATGTTTTAAACTAAATTATTAAACTTCTGTTGTACATAAATAATGTTAAGCTATATATTGTCATTACAGTGTTTATCTGACAATAATCCCAGGTCTCGTAATAAGCCCACCCATATATATTGCATTTCAGTAGAAACCCCACCAAACGCTACTTCATTGTCCTCTGTCATGAGCCCACCCCCTACTTTTAGTCAGAGATGAGGTGTTGGAACCTGGGCTTATTGCAGGATAAATACAGTGCAGTTTTGGAGAAAAAGTTTGTGTTGGACACACTATATGTATGAATTCCTTGCTAACAATGACATACCGTATGGTTGTCAGTAAGTTGTTTTATGAGAGCCCGCCAGTTACTCTCCTCATAGTTGACACGGTAGTACCCGTACATCCCATAATTACCCTTCATCCATTTCACTTGATCGTGATCAGCCTGGAACTTCACTACAATTGCAATTTATATTTTGTAAATAATCAAGGTTGTTTAGCTTTTAATTCACAGTATGTGAATTCAGTTGGTAACGAAAACTTTGCTTTGCTAAAACATGTTAGAAAGAAATACTTCTAGTATTAATGCTTAAAATGTTGAAATATCCAGAAAAATACCTGAGTCTAGGACAAGAATTACATTGGGTTATGTGTATTTTGAACATTAATTTACTTTGCTGCTCTAGTGATAGAATTTCACCTCATTTTCTCACACAATGTTAAACAAATAACCAAGTCAAACACTGTAATATATGAGGGGAAGCTTTCAAAGACATTTACAGTTCTCTTTGAATCTCTGCAGACCCATGAAGTTGCACTTTATGGAACTTTATAAACCCCAATAGTCCTACTACAACACTATGGCATCTTTTGCATGTCTGGTTAAACCATTTCAACCAGCTGAACCTGAAAAGTAAACGACAGGCAGAGATCTGAACCGAGGTTGACCCTGGAAAATTTGGCATGTGCATATCGAGGGTTCCAGACATGCCTGATTGAAATTTAAATACTATCAACAGTTTGCATCATTTCTGCATCAAACAAGGTTGATTGACATGAACAATTTAGGATAAAGTATAAAATTTAGTCGATACATAAATGAAGGATGTAATATTCTTGATACATTGACTATTGTTATTTGCTTGTCACAAACTCAGAAACCATACATTTTTTAGCTCTGTCTGTAAGATCGACACAGTTCTAGTCCAAGTGTGTTCGTTATCACAGAATATTTCAGCGCCACCTGAACCATTTCAACTAGGATACACGAAAGTGACCTATGTTTTCTACTTCTTCTATAAATCGGTGGGATATACAGAAACTCTTACTGACCTCCAGAGTCAATGTGTATGTTGATGAGCTGGTCCGAGATACCACTTGTCTTTGCTACAGCATACCTGAATGGTATGTTCCACTTGTAACTGTCAATAGTGATACACAACTCAATTATTTTATATCATTTACTGTAAATACACATATATATCGTCTAAATCTGTGAATATATCATTCAACAGTTTCAAATCATTCATATACACATGTATCTAGATTCAATAAACACATTTTTTATTGTTTTTTAATCAAATTCAGTCTCAATCTGTATAATCCTAATGGTTTACTGTATTAAATTCGAACACCTGGATAACTCAAGTATATTTCCTGGATCTGGTGTTTGGGTTTTATTTGCCATTACAGTTCTATGTATGTAATTTTTAACATTTGTTTACTTGAATGGACTTGAGTATTTTTCTTTCTTCTTTACATCCAAGCCAAGAAGGAATCGCTCTTGCGTGACCTGCACGAACTCTCCACTGCGGTTCATCGTGACGACTGGGTAACCCATTTGCTGGGTCCAGGTGTCCATTGTTGTGGACACATTTATCTGTGTGAAACTCTGGAAAATAAATTAAATGGTAAATGTGTGCACTTTCTGCAAATGCTCATGTGATTTTGTCAGAATGTGAAATATTAAACTCATGTGACATGTTTAGGTGTTGCGACAGGTTTGGGTCATGTTTCATATTTAGGTCTGGTGACATGTGTTTGTTATGTGCTATGTTTGGTCATGCGAAATGTTAAGGTCACATGATTTGTTTGGGTCATGAAACAAGTTTTGGTCAAGTTTTCGCTCACCGTGAGGATATCCCACAAGTCCTCAGTCCTTGCATTGCCATATTTGTATGTATTGAGGTATTTTTTAATTCCATCTTGAAATTTTTCTTTTCCCATAAAGTTGCTCAACATACGGATCAAGGAGGCACCCTAAACAAGTATAAAGAAAATTTCTACATTAGATATTAACACACAAAACAAAACAGCATACAAAACAGACGTACCATACTTGCCACCTTTTTGAAATTTTCATGGGGGAGATTATGTATGCTCAGAATTAAAAGCATAAATAAAATGTGTGTATGTACACCCCAGGGAAAGTAATACTTTTAATTGGCATCTTTTGAGTAGTTCTGTCAGATGAAGCCATCTGTTCTTAGAAAATACTAACAGTTTTAGTAAATTCCCGGCTCAATTTTAGGGTCCAAAACATAGAGTCTCCCCCCAAAGTAGGGAGAGTTGGCAAGTATGATGTCTGCAATGGTTCAATCCTGTCAAACAGGATGGGACGTTACCTTGCTGTAGGAGATGGCATCAAATAATTCATCAATCTGAGCAGGGTCCTTCACATCTACCGTGATGGGGTGTGAGCTCTGGACACAGTCTCTGGACATTGCTCTCATCAGGTCATTAAGTACAAACTGGTCCATCTGTAAACCCAACAGTTGGTTAGTGAGATTTGGTTGCCTGGCTGTACTTTACATCCTTGTTAGAATTAACAGATTTATAATTACAGTTACCTAATTGGCTGTCCATAGACTTGTAGTAAGAGTAATCTGGTTACCTAGTTGTACCTCAATGACTTTTGATTGTCTGTACCATAGACTTGTAATTAGTTACCTGGTTAATTGTCTGTACCATAGACTTGTAATAGGCACCTGGTTAATTGTCTGTACCATAGACTTGTTATTAGTTACCTGGTTAATTGTCTGTACCATAGGCTTGTAATAGGCACCTGGTTAATTGTCTGTCCATAGACTTGTAATCTGGTTAATTGTCTGTATCATAGACTTGTAATTAGTTACCTGGTTAATTGTCTGTACCATAGACTTGTAATTAGTTACCTGGTTAATTGTCAGTACCATATACTTTTAATTAGTTACATGGTTAATTGTCTATACCATAGACTTGTAAAAGGCACCTGGTCAATTGTTTGTCCATAGACTTATAATTAGTTACCTGGTTAATTGTCTGTACCATAGACTTGTAATTAGTTACCTGGTAAATTGTCTATACCATAGACTTGTAATAGGCACCTGGTTAATTGTCTGTCCATAGACTTGTTATTAGTTACCTGGTTAATTGTCTGTACCATAGACTTGTAATTAGTTACCTGGTTAATTGTCTGTATCATAGACTTGTAATTAGTTACCTGGTTAATTGTCAGTACCATAGACTTTTAATTAGTTACCTGGTTAATTGTCTATACCATAGACTTGTAATTAGTTATCTGGTTAATTGTCAGTACCATAGACTTTTAATTAGTTACCTGGTTAATTGTCTATACCATAGACTTGTAATAGGCACCTGGTTAATTGTCTGTACCATAGACTTGTAATTAGTTACCTGGTTAATTGTCTGTACCATAGGCTTACAATTAGTTACCTGGTTTATTGTCTGTACCATAGACTTGTAATTAGTTAATTACCTGGTTAATTGTCTGTACCATAGACTTGTAATTAGTCACCTGGTTAATAGGCTGTATCTTACAGACGTGTAATTATCCCTATTTATCTGGCTGTATCTCACAGACATTCACGTAGAATAAACAGGCTGTCTGTAAGATCCAGCCAAATAAACAGGTATAATTACCCGTCTGTAAGATACAGCATGTTCATTCTACGTAAATGTCTGTAAGATACAGACAGATAAATTGGTATATTTACACGTCTGTAAGATACAGCTTGTTCATTCTACGTAAATGTCTGTAAGATACAGACAGATAAATTGGTATATTTACACGTCTGTAAGATACAGCCTGTTCATTCTACGTAAATGTCTACCTGATTACCTGGCTGTATCTTCCACACTTGTTATTAGTGTTACCTGATTACCTGGCTGTATCTTCCACACCTGTTATTAGTGTTACCTGATTACATGGCGGTACCTTCCAGACTTGTAATCATAATTACCTGTTTACCTGTCTGAACCTACCAGACTTATAATTACAGTCATAAATTACCTGATTTATTTGCTGTACCTATCAGGTTGTATGAGTATGTACTTACCATAGAGAAGGAGGGGTCAGTTTCATTAGCCCCCAGGTACTCAACGAAGGATGCAAAACCTTCATTCAACCAAAGGTCATTCCACCACTTCAAGGTCACCAGATTTCCAAACCACTGTTAAAAGAAAACAGAATAACCTGATTATCACACACGATCTTGCATAAATGACAACATATTCAATGTTTTACAAAATATATTCACAGGAAAGGTTTAGGTAAAACAGTATGTGTTTTATCAATCAATTTTGTGGGGGTAGGAAAGGCAGAAGATATTACTACAATTATACCAATACAGTGTATTCTTTATGTACTTAATTCTACAAAATAATGAAGTACATTATAGTTTTGTTTATCTGTAAAAAAGTATAGAACTGAACAGAAAAATAAATCTCTATATAAGCGTTGTGAAACACAACAATGAAAATGAGTTACCTGGTGTGCTAGCTCATGGGCGATTACTATGGCAACATACTGTCTGTCGCGAGCAGACGACACCTCTGGATCATACAGAATGGTGGTCAGGCGATAGGTGATCAAACCCCAATTCTCCATAGCACCAGCCGCAAAGTCAGGAATGGCAACAAGATCTGTACCAGAGATAGCATGTCATTCTAAACGTATGTACGACAAACAAAAGGATTGTAATAACATCTGATACACTTTGTGTTCTGCAGAAGAAAAGTCAGCAAAATATATATTGACTACACACAATAAACTAACAACAAAATATTACTGTAGTATTATTTGCCATTCAACTGCAACAAAGAAAAAGTACATTCACAGTTTAAAGTTAAATGATATTTTCATATTCATCTGATCCGATATAGTAACGTTTTTGCTCATCCTAACATGTATAAGAGTTTAGTAGAATTTTCAACAAATGCTGTTTCATTGCCCTGTAATAAGCCCACTGCTGAGGGTCAGAGATTAACTGTTGACCTACAGCTGGGCTTACTGTAGGATAAACAGTAGTGTTACAATGTATTATCAAAATGTTTATGGATTGATTTCCAGGATACAAACTAAAATGGTCCATGGGAAACAAATATGGCATTGTTTAATAGAAATATGTGTAAGTCTGCATCATAAACAGCTGAACATGTTTACTGTACATTAGGTGTGTAGTAACTAGTTAATTGTGTTGAGCACATGTTCTTACCTTGTTTAGGTAGTGGATACTTGATACCAAACAGCTTGTTGTAGAAGTTGAGAACTTTGATGGCAGTGTCGAGAGCAAAGTTTGCCTGACTGATCTGGTGGGGTGGGGCATACACACTCACCTTTAAAGAAAAGAAATATAGTTTACTCATCAACCTAGTAATCAATCTCAAATTAAACCCTTTCACCTCTGTAGATCATAATAGACTCATCCAGATGAATGTATGGTAGAGTCTACTCAAGATACCTAGGGGTGACAGGGTTAACAGTATAAACTAATAGGCTTAGTTCTGAGCTTGAAAGGCATAATCTGCAACCACAAAATTAGGACAGATTATTTGCTTACAAACCATACATTTTGTTATCTCAATTATCATTTGGAAAAGCAAAAAAAAAAAAGTTTTATTGAAGGTGCATGAGAAAAGAAAAAGAAAAGATTTTCTATTTCAAGAATAAAGGTGAGGGAGAAATTTTAAATGGCTAAGTAAGTCCTCTTCCTCATTAGACTAACATTACAACTTAAGATTGTGTTGTGTTCGACAAGTCAGGTTGGTTAGAATTTCATTGACAGCAATTTTTGTGTACTGCTCAACTCCATATTCCTTGAGTGAGACAGGGTCAGGGTCAATATATTAGATCCTCAAATTACACGAACATTACACAAACATGAATGTGGTGTCGTTACATAATCTTGTATAGCTGGGGTACAAACTGTTATGAAAATTGGCTCCCTGATTGGAAGCTTTACAAGACAGCTTTAGACCTGTCTAATGATATGTTGCCCCTCGGAATAATAAAGTTTATTGTGATATTGTTATCCCCTCGGAATAATAAAGTTTATTGTGATATTGTTATCCCCTTGGAATAATAAAGTTTATTATGATATTGTTATCCGCTCAGAATAATAAATAAAGTTTATTGTGATATTGTTATCCGATCGGAATAATAAAGTTTATTGTGATATCGTTATCCCCTCGGAATAATAAAGTTTATTGTGATATTGTTATCCCCTTGGAATAATAAAGTTTATTATGATATTGTTATCCGCTCAGAATAATAAATAAAGTTTATTGTGATATTGTTATCCGCTCGGAATAATAAAGTTTATTGTGATATTGTTATCCCCTCGGAATAATAAAGTTTATTGTGATATTGTTATCCCCTCAGAGTAATAAAGTTTATTGTGATATTGTTATCCCCTCGGAATAATAAAGTTTATTATGATATTGTTATCCGCTCAGAATAATAAAGTTTATTGTGATATTGTTATCCGCTCGGAATAATAAGTTTATTGTGATATTGTTATCCCCTCGGAGTAATAAAGTTTATTGTGATATTGTTATCCTCTCGGAATAATAAAGTTTATTGTGATATTGTTATCCCCTCGGAATAATAAAGTTTATTGTGATATTGTTATCCGCTCGGAAAAATAAAGTTTATTGTGATATTGTTATCCCCTTGGAATAATAAAGTTTATTGAGATATTGTTATCCCCTCGGAATAATACAGTTTGTTGTGATATTGTTATCCCCTCGGAATAATAAAGTTTATTGTGCTATTGTTAGGGTTAATGACTGCAGTAGAAGAGGTATAAGATTGTGACATCAGAAGAAACAACAATGAGATGATGTCATCAATTCAAGTAACAAAATATATCATTACCTGGTAAACATATATAACAGTAGTTAAGTATTCAATAAAAAGAATCACTAAGTTGTTCCTATTCCAACTGACATTTGTGACATTCATTGAAGCCTATTTCACATACCGGTAAATTATATATCTGTAGAATGTATAATGAAAACTCATTTGAATAGAGTAAATCTTGATTATTTTTTATTCGATCAGCAGTTCATCACTAGTAATATGGTGAATCAGTGCACATACCTTTGTGCCCTGTTCCGTAGTCCCATTCACTCTGTCATAGTCACACACAATGAAGGCCACAAGGTAAGTGCTCATGCCTACACTCTGCTGGAACTTGTCCACAATGAGACCATTCGACTTGTTGTATGGGGTTGATGTAAGGCGTGGCATGTTGGATAGTGAAATCTGATTCTGGTCGCGAACAATGGACATGGTAAACTTAGCTTTCATGTCTGGTTCATCAAAACAGGGAAACGCCTCTCTTGCACCTGTTGATTCAAACTGAGTTGTACCAAGATACCTAGAAGATCAGGAAAGAGAAATTCATTACTACAACAACTGTGCATCTACAAGTTCCTAATTCTAACATCTGCCGTAAGTTTTAATAGCTGCAGTAATACATATTCCATTACTGGACTTCTGGCATATCCTAGCGCAAAAAGCACATGTTTACCTTACATCACGATGTATCCAGAAACATTCTACAATAAAACTTATATATCTTGGCCTCTTTTTCATTTACTACGTTGCTCACTGCCATCCTTTTTAAGATCCCCTTTTATATGCATTTGTATCACCAAACCCCTTTATGATGCCATATATTGCTAGGCAATTAATGGTGGCCTTACAAAAAGATTTTACTTCGCATATAAATAGAAAGAAAAAGCTGAACATGTAATAAAACTACAGTCGAATGTTTGTTAAAAGTACTACAAATTTATTTGGGAAGCAAAATTACATTGTACAGTCCTATATTTTTACATCATTTTATAAGTAGTTATTCAGTTCAAATAAATATATATACGTATTTAGAGATTTTAAACAGCTAGTAAATATAAGCCCAGAACTTACTTCACTTCTCCATCTGGTGTCTTGTAACTACTGAGGTAGAATCCTGATAGTTTTTTCACCAGCATGCCATCAAACTCCAAGGTCACTGTGACCTTGGTTTCCTCCATCAGCGTTTCAGCCATCTTAAGGACATACATCTGAAGGTCTGTACACTTCAGCTGCATTTTTACATCACAGTTGCGCAGCATACCCCCATCTTTATGCTGAATCTGCACCGAAACATTTGTTATGGTCAAATGTTTCACATGGAAAATTATCATCTCAGTCTTTTCCATAATAACGGTCTTGATCTTGACACTGCCTTTGAATGTCTTCCTTTCAGGAAGGAAATCTGGATGAATCAGTATGTCATACTCCATAGGGATGACAGATCTGGGCAGTCTAATCTGTTGCCAAGGAAACACTTCTCCATCTGTGGCCAAGTACTTTGTCTCATTGGGTTTAGGGGAAACCTGTGGCAGGTCAGTTGTCGGGGCGACTTGAGGCTGTACACAGGGCTGCGGAGGCTGGGATCCAGGCCTTGCAAATGCAGCAATAAGTGTGATTACTAGAATGAAGATACCGATGCCGACAACTATTGCTGTAGCTCGACCCTGCCCCAAGACTAGTTGACGACATTTCTGTTTTACAGATGGCTCATATACAGCTTTCCTGTGTAGATTGTCACCTGCAACACACACAAGACCAATATTTTATCATGTATTTTAACCTCTCATGTAGTGTTACCTTGATTACTTATGAATTAAAATAGGGCAATCTGATTAAAAATCTACGTTCCAGTCAGAATGTAGAGTATTGGAGTGGAATCAAAGATCTGGTTTTAATCAGATTGATAATAGGGAGACTTAATTGGCAAGTCACTTAGCTGTGTCTTTGATAAACCAAACACAATTCATTAAAACATTCCTTGTCTGTCAAAAAAATCAATAATCTGTTCGCTTATAAAATATCTCAATAATGTGTCTGAAACATTAACCCTTTCACCAATGTATACCATAATGGACTCATCCAGATCAATGCATGGTAGAGTCAACTAAAGTTACATAGGGGTGAAACGGTTAAGGTAAAGGGTCCCACTGCATCAGTTATAATCATGAAGAAGAGTTCCACTCAGACTTTTTACTTTAAGTATTCTCCCCTTCTATTAAACATAAAGTATTCTCCCCTTCTATAAAACATAAAGTATTCTCTCCTTCCATAAAATATGAAGTATCCTCTCCTTCTATAAAACATAAAGTATTCTCTCCTTCCATAAGATATGAAGTATCCTCTCCTTCTATACAACATGAAGTATTCTCCCCTTCTATTAAACATAAAGTATTCTCTCCTTCTATAAAACATGAAGTATTCTCTCCTTCTATAAAACATGAAGTATTTTCCCCTTCTATAAAATATGAAGTATCCTCTCCTTCTATAAAACATGAAGTATTCTCCCCTTCTATAAAACATGAAGTATTCTCCCCTTCTATAAAACATGAAGTATTCTCCCCTTCTATAAAGCATGAAGTATTCTCCCCTTCTATAAAACATGAAGTATTCTCCACTTCTATAAAACATAAAGTATTCTCTCCTTCTATAAAACATAAAGTATTCTCTCCTTCCATAAAACATGAAGTATTCTCTCCTTCTATAAAACATGAAGTATTCTCTCCTTCTATAAAACATCAAGTATTCTCTCCTTCTATAAAACATCAAGTATTCTCTCCTTCTATAAAACATAAAGTATTCTCTCCTTCCATAAAACATGAAGTATTCTCTCCTTCTATAAAACATGAAGTATTCTCTCCTTCTATAAAACATCAAGTATTCTCTCCTTCTATAAAACATCAAGTATTCTCTCCTTCTATAAAACATAAAGTATTCTCTCCTTCCATAAAACATGAAGTATTCTCTCCTTCTATAAAACATGAAGTATTCTCTCCTTCTATAAAACATCAAGTATTCTCTCCTTCTATAAAACATCAAGTATTCTCTCCTTCTATAAAACATAAAGTATTCTCTCCTTCCATAAAATATGAAGTATTCTCTCCTTCTATAAAACATCAAGTATTCTCTCCTTCTATAAAACATCAAGTATTCTCTCCTTCTATAAAACATAAAGTATTCTCTCCTTCCATAAAACATGAAGTATTCTCTCCTTCTATAAAACATGAAGTATTCTCTCCTTCTATAAAACATCAAGTATTCTCTCCTTCTATAAAACATGAAGTATTCTCTCCTTCCATAAAACATGAAGTATTCTCTCCTTCTATAAAACATCAAGTATTCTCTCCTTCTATAAAACATCAAGTATTCTCTCCTTCTATAAAACATAAAGTATTCTCTCCTTCCATAAAATATGAAGTATTCTCTCCTTCTATAAAACATCAAGTATTCTCTCCTTCTATAAAACATCAAGTATTCTCTCCTTCTATAAAACATAAAGTATTCTCTCCTTCCATAAAATATGAAGTATTCTCTCCTTCTATAAAACATCAAGTATTCTCTCCTTCTATAAAACATAAAGTATTCTCTCCTTCCATAAAATATGAAGTATTCTCTCCTTCTATAAAACATGAAGCAACCAAAAGTAGTTTTTCTGGCTTAGAGCATCTCCCCCTGTGACGTTTTTCATATGCTTTGCGGCCCATATATTGGACCTTCATTTTGATGCTGTGCATGCATAATTTCTGTATGGCAACATTGGTAAAATGTAGGCTCTGCAATGTACAGGTTCCGAGTTCAACCCCTGAGGCTTTTTTTTCTTTTTTTTTCTCTTTTCAAAAATTCAAATTTAGACAATTACAGTTCTATAAAATGTATGGCAACATGAGACTTTTATGGAATATTCTTTTTGAAAAAGACTTGAACAAATATTTCAAAATAGAGACAATGGTAATCTAACTTGTTAGTACCCTTTATCTTAAAATGTAAGGAATGCATCATCAGCACCCACTACAACACAGAGATGACAATAAGGCTGTGTTGGCATGTGGACAGCAAATAATGTGTTTTTCCCTCTTTAACCTTTTCTTTATTGTGACATTCATATAATGAAAATTCAGCAATAAATAGAAAGTACCGTTCAGTACTGATTGAACTTAACGGTAGACCATAACTGTAGGTCTGTGGGAATCATTTACATCATAGACCACATTGTCTAGGTAGTTTTATATATATATTCAAAACACCAGTCGAAGACTACATACAATTTGCTAGTGCTTTTGCCCATCTTGGGGCTCTGAAGGCGATTTCATGTGATACGAGATGAAGACTTAGAATTGTAGTCTTGGTGTTTTGTTTTATATTTATTTTTACCGTCACATGTACATTTAAAACTCTTTATCGCTATATATTGGGTATGTCAACCCAACACCATGAAACATCAACCCAACATAATGACATGTCCACTCAACATAATTTCATGTCCACCCAACATGACATGTCCACCAAGCATCATGATATGTCAACCCAACATAACGACATGTCCACCCAACATGACATGTCCACCACACATGACATGTCCACCTAATGTCCACCCAACATGACATGTCCTACCAGCATGACATGTCCACCCAGCATGACATGTCCATCCAACATGACATGTCCACCCAACATGACATGTCCTACCAGCATGACATGTCCACCCAGCATGACATGTCCACCCAACATGACATGTCCACCCAACATAATAACAGGTCCACCCAACATAATGACATGTCCGCCCAACATCATGATATGTTAACTGAACATCATGGTATGTCACCCTAACACCATGTAATGTCAACCCAACATAATGACATGTGAACCCAAAATAATGGCATGTCCACCAAACATAATGACATGTCAACACAACATCATAATATGTTAACCCAACATCATGGTATGTCAACCAAGCATAACGACATGTCTACTAAACATAATGACATGTCAACCGAACGTCATGACAAGTCAACCCAACATAATGACATATTAACTGAACGCCATGACAAGTCAATATGACATATTAAGGTCGAATGAGTGTATTGATAAACAAAAATAGGAAGTACATCCCTAGTTGAAAATCCAATGTAGGGAGACAGCATCACAATTTCCGCATATTCTAATATTTAATCTTAAACTAATGAATAACGTATGTTTATTATTGACAGAACAGTGTGTTCCCTCAATTCTAAAGTATTTCAAAGCAATCCAGGCATTAATTCAGTTGTTTTTTATCAATGAGTCACATGTGTCCATTTGTCTGTACTTCAGGAAACCGGCTACCTATTTTACTACTGTTAAGTTTTTCAAGAAAGATAACTCTTACATGCAATTACTATGTGTATATGGTTCATTTATAGATAATTAATTTTACACAATTTCAGCATTTATTAAATTGATATATTAAATAATTTTGTAATACTGTTATTATTAATAATTGACAGAACTTCAGGCTCCTGTGATAACACTTAATAGTTAATGTGACAACACACATATTGCCAAAACCAGTAATTACGTCTTCAGTAATACTAATAGAACTAAACAAATCGCATCGCTCTCGGTTTGTACATAGGCAGGTCCAGTACACTCTGCCGATTGAGCTATAGTATATATAGCTATAGAGCTATATTTTCTCTGATTTCAATTTTCATTAAATAAAAGCAAAGACGCATAAAACAATAAGGTTTTTGGTAATGGTGACTACAAAAAGCATACAGTTAGATGTTTATTTTCATTTTTCATAAATGTAAAATTTCCGATTTTTTTACATCATTATTTTTTAAAACGAATACTTATATTTAATGTCTTTTGTTATCAACCTAATGATACAATCTTCTTTTAAAAGCGACTTTGTTTTGTTTTCCTTAAAAAAGAAAATCGCTTGAAAATAGCTCAAAAGACCTATTTCAGATAGGTCAATAGAGCTATTATAGGTCTTTACAGCTATATAGCTCAATCGGCAGAGTATACTGGACCTGATAGGGTCTCGTTACAAATACGTTTATGTGTGTTGTGACCCATATCAGTATAACATATGTGTATTGCAGACATTTGTAACGAGATCCTGTGGTTTGTAATTAAGTGGTACAAACAAACCTGGAAGAAACGATACATCTTCTACATCGTCTGACATCTCAATGGTTTCAGCCCTCGTCAACTCTGCAGTGAAAAGAGACAGCTTCTCGTTTCGTTAAGTGTTTCCTGAATCAGTCTGATATAGATGACCAAGGGAAAGAACCGACAAATACCGTACACTAAGTTTTACTGACACGCGGATACATAATGCCCCCAGGCAATATTTTGGGGAAATAACAGACTCGATAATGTATGTGTTTACAATTTGCAGCACTCAGCTTCCGGCACAGCGGTGCGTTCGTTTCGCACTTTACAGAATCCGGCATGAATCCACTAGAGGGCGCTAAAAAGGCGGGCAGCTTAAAATTGAAAACAACAGTAATGTAGGTATTATGATATAGGCCTATTAATTCACTATACAAGAAACGAATGTTTGTAAAGTAAGCGCTTTTGAGAACATACTTCGTTTGCTCACGATTATTATAAATCGACGTCATGTTTTGATGATCTTGCTCGATCTTTACTAGCTGGTGTACCACCTGACTTTAGACAGGTCATGTAGCAAAGCCCACAAAGGGGCACTGTTTTTATGATAGTTATAAGCCCTTTCATATTCCTCAAACACATTTTCATACAGTATGAAACAAGTAAAACAATCCTCCTAACATTCGTTAATCAGTTAACAGGGTAACATTGGGTCTTTTTATTCAGTTCGTTTATTTGGAACACTGGTTTGTCTGTTTTTAAAGTACCCATTTTCGAGTATAAATCCTGGCAGGCATCAAGTCAAGTAGATTTTATTTAAAAGTCGGTACATGGTTAAACAAGGCGACACAAGCCTATGGAAGGCTTTTACAACCGACAATATAACAAAAAAACGGAGGTAGCATTATATAAAACATAAATAAAACACAACAAACCTGCAAATATATGACACACATTATTAAACATATATAAAAGATAGGTAGTGTGGTTCGAAAATGAAAATTTAATGATAATAACTTTTGGCACATACATGCGGGTAAAAAAAAATAGGCAAACAGTCAAAACAAGGTGGCTACAGTGCCCCATCCTTGATGATCATGGTTAACTATAAATTCCTAGATAACTTAATACATTCTAAAAAAAAACCACTTATCACACAATGCCTTCAACAAATTACATTATTACAGCACATATAAATAGCACAGATTGCATAGAAAACATACAAACCAGATTTGAAATGAAATTACAAGAAATAAAAAGATGTTTTATAAGCAGCACATACAATTTACACAAAATAAAAGCAAAGCAACACAAATAGTGCATAAAAAATAAATTCACATACATATTTACAAGCATAATGACTAACTAAAAGCATTGAAGCAGAATAGATAAAACAGCAGAGGCAACAAAGGGAGGGAACTCATCTGCACATCGCACAGTGGCAACTTTCACCATTCCAAGTTTTTATTATTTTCCTAAAATCATTAAAAGAAGTAGATAGTCTGACATGCTCTGGCAGTGAGTTCCATGTAAAACTAAAACTATTTGTTCCATACTTAACAGTTCTGCTTCTAGGGACTTTTACTGTATCTGAAATTATAAGATGATGTTTTTACATGAATAAAATCCTGTAAATAACGGGCTTTGTCCATTTAAAATTTTGCAAATGTTCATGATCATGATCTATTTTTTTTGTTTTTATTTTACTCATTTTCAGAAATGATGGAAGAAGATACAGAACGGTAAGATTGTTAAAAAAAAATTCTGATATATAAAAAAATATATAAGATATTGTTGGTAACAATGTATTTCATATCCATCAGCTGCAAAATTATGTTTATTCTTCTTAGACCCTTGTGCTTCAACACACATTGAAAAAAGGGATTTATTGATTGTATTCATGAACATTTTCTATGCAAAAAGTACATATTCTGGGTTGATGTAAGATATAGGGCATTCACACTAGCTGTTGTATGACATATAACATATACAATTGTTGAAAATTCAATATGGTTCAGACAACTTGTTTATTCCCTCTTTAGACCTGTTAAATACACCCAACTGAATTCAAGCTAAAAATATGCCCACCCTTAATTCTTAATTCACCAAAAAATAGTTGCTGTTATGATTGTCTATCTTTTTTATATACTTTATAAACTATATTAAGTAGAAGATATGCAGCATTAGGAAATACTAGATACGATGCATATGATAGAATTACCATGCAATTTGTACTGTAAGTGTAAGTTGTTGTGAAGTAAAATGGCAGTTAGGACTCGGAGGGATTGTCAGCTATGAATGTGTCTGGTTTTCCTCTTTGAGTGCACCGACACAGTTGATGAATGTTGATCCAGAGTAAAGATACATGTTGCTAAATATTGTTGTTATTTTTTCTCCAGACTTACTTTAAACTTGAATTCCAAGAGGAGGTCTAAAAGGAGAACTTCATCTGTAAGTAAGAAGTATGATATGAGCCAGGTCTAAAAGTGGTGATTAAAATTAATTATGATTTCTATATTTCCATTTTGTTAGGAAAATAAAATTTCTAACCTGCAAGCGTAAGTAAGTTGTTAATATTTGAAAATTAACTCAAAATGAGAATGGATGTATTACAATGAAATCAGTCATTATAAATTGGATTGTTTTGTGTCTGCTTTAGAACAAAAATTAATTATAGTGAGGTCACGCCAGGTGAGATTATTTCATACTGAGATTGTCAGAAAAAAAACATGTCCTGGGAGTGAGGAAACCTGTATGGAAAATTCATCTTAACTCTTGAATGATTGTTTACCAATTACATCAGCATGGTTTTGTAACCCTTTCAGATTTTGAAGACTACTATTGGACCATTGCTGGACATTGACCCAAATAAACAGGTAAGACCAAGTAGACAAAATTATTTGGTTTTCAGCTCACCTGGCACAGCAAGTCTATTCCGTCTTGCATATTGCAGAGTTATCTTCTCTTGTGAGCAGGTATTGGTTTGTGAGAGTAACGTCATCAATTTTTGAGAAAACAATGTAATTTTCTCACACAAACCAATAAACGTAACAATCAATACCTGTTCACAGGAGAAGATAACTCTGCAATACGCAAAGACAGAATAAGTCATGGTACATCACCTTTCAGTCATTAACTTTAAAACGTTTTGAATTATTATTAACTGCACTGTCACATTTAACCGACTTTACATTAATATAAAATGTGATTCAGAGTTGAAATTGAATAGAAGAAAATATGCATTTGGAAAATATCAGATTTAGTTAATTTGAAGTTCATACAGTTTATATACAATGTATAGCATGATCAGATCCCAAGTTAGATCATAAAAAAAGAATGTACATGTCATTTATTATCATAGAGGAATTATACAGAAATCTCTAAAACATGTTTTCTTTAACTTAACTAAGCTTTGAAATTGTAAAATTTTCAATTTGTTTGAATCAAAATATCCCCGAGTCATGCATATAGTGAAGCGACCTCTGTAGCTCAGATTTGAACAAGAGAAGTTAAGGGCATTAAGGTCTAACATCATGGATGACATTTTTTGGTGACTTCATTCTTATATGCATCTTGGTGTGTTCAATGGATAACAAAACAATGAAATTTGATTATTTACTTGTCAGGATGGATGCACAGTTCCACTCAAAAAATCTAGACAGTCATTGTCAAAAAGAGTCAGCTTTGCTAAACGCCATGAAATCAAGTAAGTTGTTCAGAACGTGTGTACAATTTGATACCATTAATGTACTTGTCCTGGCTTTTCGCTTGTTGAATAGAACACCACTAAAAGGTGCAGAAGAATATGTGGTTTTTAGGTCACCTGAGCTTTGCTCAAGTGACCTATTCTAATCGCTTTCCATCCATCGTCCGTCTTGCATAAACTTTTTACATTTTCAACTTCTTCTCAAGAACCAGTGGATGGATTTTTTCAAACTTGGTCAGAATCATCCTTGGTAGAGGAGGCTACAAAATTGTAAAATTGGGATTCCTACCCCAACCCAAAGGGAAAATTAACCAATGTTTCAAAAAGCTTCTTTTCAAGACTCAGAGGTACTACTGTCATTTTCTCTGCATGGAAAGAAAGATCATCAGGGGCTTTATTTAAATTGTAAATTTCAGAACCCCCGAGCTATCCATTCTCCCTTGGGGAGGGGGTAAAGTTTACTATAGTTTATATAGGGAAATAACACTTTTGAGTATATTTTGACAACTTTTTGTAGGAAATTATTTTTACTTGGTGAGAATTATCCTTGGATGAAGATGGTTTCAAATTGTAAAATTGAGATTCCTACTCCAACCCCTGGGGCCAGGGGGGACATTTGTATTTCACTTAGTTTACATGCGGATTTCCACATCACATCTAAACAATAAAATAAAGCTACCAGTACCTATGATATAACTCAGGTGACCGCTAAGGCCCTTGGGCCTCTTGTTTTATTTAAATTAATCATCAAAACCTTTTTCATTTAAGCTTGATATGTTCATTTAATGAAATCTAAGACAAATTCATCTGAATTTTTCTTCCAAGTATCTGGATATATCTGGATATTCAAAATCATAAGTCAAAGATATTCTTGATCCAATTTTAATCTTCATCTATCATATTTCATAAAAAGTTATGAATTTCTGTGTGAGTTCTTCTTTGAAAAGATTTCTTTTCAACTCCCTCTAATTTCCCCCTTTTAATAACTCATCCTTCTTAAGAAAAAGGTCAAGGTCACATACTTAAATATAATCATATTCTGCTCAATAAATTGAATCCCCTTGGACAACTCAAACTTCAAACCATATTAAACCAAATGATACAGATCTTTCCTGTCCTTTTCTTTGCTTATAGTCAACAATTAAGGTCACTTTTACTATAAATAGAAAATAACTTTCTTCACAATGTCTTTTCCCAATAATTAAACTATCTCAAAACTTCATGCAGGAATTCCTTGTCCAAAGCCCTTGCTTCAGATAGCTTTTCAAGCTCAAATGAGGTCACTGTTATCACTACAAACAAATTATTTTACAGTGGACCAACTGCTATTTGTTACATGTTTTCTTTTTTCTTTTACAGAGAATTTCCTCGAGAGTCGCCTCGCAGGTGGGGGGAGGATTCTCCAGGTAATATTGAAATCAAGTTTTATGATTTAATACTATAGCTGTTAACTACTGTAACAGCAAGAAATTATTAGAATATCCAGGATAAACAGCTATGCACAGCAATATAATTGTGATCACTGACAAAATGTCTGTCAGTTTATTATAGATTAAATGCAATTTTCTATGCATTATGTGATTTTTTTACCATTATGTGTAAGTGTTTCACCACTCCCCACCTATGTGTTAAACAGCAATGGGAGTGATCGATCTTTGCCTAGTGCCTTATGTGTTAAAAAGGCTGGAAGTATTCGCATTGGTTGAAAAGTTATGTCACAGCACTTTATGATGTCATGTTGTCAATGAAGTTGCTTAGTGACGTCATGATTTACAATTGTTTCTTTATGGTTGGAAATCTCAATCATACTTTAACATATTGCTAACCTGACATGATAAAAATTTCTGGAAGAAACATATTCCGATGGTTGGTTATACTGTGTATCTAAATTAAAATTATATATCTGCATTATTGGTGAAGAATATGTAGGCAGTGTCCCCTGGTGCATTTTGGGTAAAACATTGTATGTTTTGTGTAAAACATGCTGTTCAGGTAATCTAGCTTCTAACAACTGGACACCAGGCTCCTTCTGTAATTGTGGAACTTTCATGATGAAAAACGGACATACATTACTCAACATGATGTCTGTAACATATGATGCAAAAGGCACAGTTGGTGATGTTAGTAAGATAAAAACAAAGTTGAGGCAACTCTTTTGTACTTGTAAAATGATTTCCATAGGATGAAAACTGATTAAACTCATTGATAATTAAATCAGTGCTATATAAGTCGAGAGCGAATACAATGACTGAATATTTTGTGTGCTTCATTCCAACAGCCCAGGAACCAGCAGCAGACACAGAGTAAGTTCATATCATATACATTTTTGCTTTGATTTATCAACACCAATCAATACTTCTATGTTGTAAAACAGTAGCAATATGACACATTTGTCAACATTTGTGCATAATTATAAATGTAGGTTTTTGTGATGAAAGTAGGTACAGTTCTGCATTGTGACAATGATTTGTCCATTGCTGTGAATAGGGTTTTATCCAATTTCAGATGATTTTAGTTTAACATCTTTTATAGAACATGGATTTGCTAAAATATTTGACTTCAAGGAACTTTGATTTTGAGAAAATTAGGGGTATATATGAAATCGGAAAATCAACATTTGTATATAGATATATATAACTTTACAGTGTAATATATACCTGGAACGTTTTGATAGAAAATGATGCTCACTCCTTTTTGTAGCAGCTTCAAACCATAATTTCTTTTTCTATTCAGTATTTTTATATCAAACTATTTAAACAAAATCATCAGTGGTCAGGACTGATGAATGACGATATAATTTGTGAAATATAACTTGTAGAAATTCATCACTTAACAGTTTAATTTGCTCCTAATTACAGCCTGACAGTTTCCACTTGATATTTGATTATTTTTTTACTTCAGAAATGACACTATACCTGTGACAGCTACGGTTTCTGATCAGCAAGGTAGTTATTGTGATCAATTTTCATTTATAATCTTCATAGTCTTCAATAGGTTGAAGCCATGAAAATAAAACATGATAGTATAAGTTTCATAGATATACCTATCATTATGTTGTTATATCTGATTTAAGTAATTAGCCTTTTTGTTTCTTAATTCAAAATTCCATATTGCAAACTACAACTATCTGTAAAAAGATACAAAGAAAAGGTGAGAGGTATGAAGTAAAGTCAATCTCATTTGGCTAATTGGATCCTTGAACAAGTAATAGATTATTAAAACAAATATTTGTATTGTCTTTTTTAAGGGGTGGCAAACATTTCGGAGGGCCAGCATGGAGGGTAAGAAACATCATTTGACTAGATATTGATCAAGATCTATTTCCCCTTTTTTGTTGAGTTTTACGGTAAACATCAAACATCCTGGCATAGATGGTCATCTAGGATTTTCATTTCATTTCCTGGGTATAGTTGAAGTAGAACAAATGGTGTTTGTTTAAAATAAAAAAGTTCAAGTATGAGAATACCTCGGGGTGAGTCCCAAGGTAAATGCCCAGGTCACTTTTGCTATTAATGGGTCAACCACAGGGCCAAGGGGACAATCATGTCTTGTAGATGCTTTCAAGTTTATGGTTAATGTTGAGCCCTTGTATAAGACTCTATTACAGCAACTTTGGTCTCATTTCTTAATGATTAATTAAGAAATGAGACAAAATTTGCTTTGATATAATAATAATGAAAGAATTACTTCTTTGCCCTTTCACCACTGGAGACCATAATGGACTCATCCAGATAAATCTATGGTAAAGTCTACTAACATAACCTAGGGGTGAAAGGGTTAATTTAAATTGGAATCTCACACAAAACAAACATAAAAGAACATTCAATAAGGTGAAAATCTTTCTGACTTTAATTAGCCTATATATCAGGCGTGTACAATTAATTACCCCAATGCCCGTGGCTAGTAGATTTTATGTCAGGGCTCATGAGAATTTTCAGTATTCACCCATATATATGTTGGGCATAAAACATTTTTCAATTCTGCCTACTAGAAATTATACACTTTTGAAACATTTTCATTAAGATTGGATATGTTAAGAATTTGTGTTGGTGTTTTCTTTTATTCAGTTCCAATGTGCCTCTGCTGCCAAGTACATCTGCTCCTCTCGAGGAGAACAACTTCAGTGTATACTCGCAATACGTAGGTGGTCATTCGGCTCCAGCTGAGACTTGTATGACGACCACCGACACTGCTGTCAGCTCTGAACAACCCAAGCAATGGGGAGCGGAATCTAAAATTGATGGCAGTTCATTACTGAAAAGTCTTGCTGGAGCAAATACACTGCCCAGGGAGGGACTGGAGTTGGGGTACCACACACAAACCAGGGAGGAGTCTGGCCTTGGCTCTATAGCTGGTGGCAGGGATATAAAAGTTGATGGCATGGCCCTGTTACAAGCTCTTGGTGGTGGTGGTTCCGATACTCCAGCTGAGCCGGAACTACTGTCATCTTATAAGGTCAGGGAGAGTACCACAGAACAGTCAGCTCCAAACAACAGGACCATGGTGTTTCCAGAAAATGAGTACATGGACCAGACCGAAGCACTTACATGCCACATTCAGCTGCGAGAGGCAGAGGCTTGTCTCAAAGGTTTAAAAGAGCGCACCCCACTGATGGCATTGAAGGAACAGGCCCCCTGTGATGTTAGATACGGAGCACTGCATGATGAGCCAGATGACAAGACAATTGTGTTTTCCCATGGCGATGACGACATGCAGCAGACAGAAGTGTTACCTGTGGGGTTACACTTGAACCCACTACAGTCTGATGGGGACTTTTCTTGTCTCTCTGGGTCTGTGAACAGACAGAGCCTTTTACAGTCCTTAGGGGGATCTGATGAGACCGACAGCCCTGACGTATTATTCGGAAAGAAGTTTGAAACATTAAGTGCAACCGCGAAGAAACATCCATTTACACAGGACATCACAAATAATGTACTTCAGCACAACTTGGAAGAGAGTCGGTTAAAGGGATATGATATAGCTCATCAGAGAGAACCAACTATTGTGTTTCAACATGGATTAGAAATGGAGGAAACCGGGGTGATACACGTTCCAATCGATACACAAGGCGGTTTGTCAAGTGCTGAAATAACTGAGGACAGGAAGGTGCTATTTTACCTAGGACATAACTCAGAGGAAATAAAAGCGTCAGACGATCCTTTGTTCAGATCTGTGGAAAATAAGTCTGAAGAAAAAACATTGATATATCAAGATGGAGCAGATATGGAACAAACTGGAGTCCTAGAAAGCAATATTTTGTCAAATAAGTCCACTCTACAACAGTCAGACAACAAAACACTGATATTTCAGGATGGTGCAGACATTGAACAAACTGGAGACCTGTATAGTGAAATAGCCATCAGATCCCATGGACAACCTGTCAACAAAACGCTGATGGATGGGGCAGACATGGAACAAACAGAAGTTCTAGATAGTAAAATATCCAGGAGATCCGTGACACAGCGACCTGTCAACCGAACAGTGATGGATGGAGCAGACATGGAACAAACAGAAGTTCTAGATAGTAAAATATCCAGGAGATCTGTGACACAACGACCTGTCAACCAAACAGTGATGGATGGAGCAGACATGGAACAAACAGAAGTTCTAGATAGTAAAATATCCAGGAGATCCATAGCACAACGACCTGTCAACCAAACAGTGATGGATGGAGCAGACATGGAACAAACAGAAGTTCTAGATAGTAAAATATCCAAGAGATCTGTGACACAACGACCTGTCAACCAAACAGTGATGGATGGAGCAGACATGGAACAAACAGAAGTTCTAGATAGTAAAATATCCAGGAGATCCATAGCACAACGACCTGTCAACCAAACAGTGATGGATGGCGCAGACATGGAACAAACAGAAGTTCTAGATAGTAAAATATCCAAGAGATCTGTGACACAGCGACCTGTCAACCAAACAGTGATGGATGGAGCTGACATGGAACAAACAGAAGTTCTAGATAGTAAAATATCCAGGAGATCTGTGACACAGCGATCTGTCAACCAAACAGTGATGGATGGAGCAGACATGGAACAAACTGGTGTCATACCGAACAACATTTTATCAAATAGGTCAAGACTGCAACAGTCTGATAGCAAAACGCAGATATTCCAAGATGGAGCAGACATTGAGCAAACAGAAGTTCTAGATAGTAAAATATCCAGGAGATCTGTGACACATCGATCTGTCAACCAAACAGTGATGGATGGAGCAGACATGGAACAAACAGAAGTTTTAGATAGTAAAATATCCAGGAGATCCGTGGCACAACGACCTGTCAACCAAACAGAAATGGATGGAGCAGACATGGAACAAACAGAAGTTCTAGATAGTAAAATATCCAGGAGATCTGTTACACAGCGATCTGTCAACCGAACAGTGATAGATGGAGCAGACATGGAACAAACAGAAGTTCTAGATAGTAAAATATCCAGGAGATCCGTGGCACAACGACCTGTCAACCAAACAGTAATGGATGGAGCAGACATGGAACAAACAGAAGTTCTAGATAGTAAAATATCCAGGAGATCTGTGACACAACGACCTGTCAACCAAACAGTAATGGATGGAGCAGACATGGAACAAACAGAAGTTCTAGATAGTAAAATATCCAGGAGATCTGTGACACAACGACCTGTCAACCAAACAGTAATGGATGGAGCAGACATGGAACAAACAGAAGTTCTAGATAGTAAAATATCCAGGAGATCTGTGACACAACGACCTGTCAACCAAACAGTAATGGATGGAGCAGACATGGAACAAACAGAAGTTCTAGATAGTAAAATATCCAGGAGATCTGTGACACAACGACCTGTCAACCAAACAGTAATGGATGGAGCAGACATGGAACAAACTGAAGTCATGGATAGTAAAATAGGCAACAGATCCCTAGCACAACATCCAGTTAACAAAACACAGATAGATGGAGAAGACATGGAGCTGACTAGAGTTTTGGAAAGTAAAATAGCGAACAGGTCCATAAATAAAGTAGACACTTGTAATATCCAGTTGTCTGAAGAAATTTGTGAGAATAAGACTGTTGTCTTCCAAGAAGGTGTAGACTTAGATGAAACCCATGTCACGACATCTAACATAAACGTACATGGACAGGGCATTGATCAAACCTCACAGCCAGTGAGTAATGTGACGCAGGACCTAGACATCACCAAAGTTAATAGAACTAATATATCATCACTAACTGCATCTGCCAGGCTGAAGAGGCTGTCAGCACGTTTCTCATTAGGCGGAGACATTGTGACTGGTCGTTTGACCAAGAGTACCAATGGAGAGTCTGAGGTGGACAACGACCAGACCCAATCCATTCCGAGAAACACTGTACGATTGGCAGGACCAACTCCAAAGAAAGGTGACAAAGGACCATGTGATGTGCCGAGGGAAGGCCGTAAAATAGACATTTCCCCACAGGTTACTGGTGACTGTGGGTCAAGCCTTCCCCAGACCACAGCACAGATCATAGAGGACGCACCGAAGACCGTGGACATGGAGACTGAGGAATCAAATAATCTCCAAGTTATTGACCAGGTTCTGTTACCAAACACCACATCAAAACAAACTGGTAAGATATAAATTCAAAGTCATGATATGTTCACTGTGACTTGCATGTCAAGGTCAGAGGTACACACCTCTTAATGTCCATTCCTCAGACATCTGAGCATCATTCTTGAATTACAGTAAAAATCTTGTTATACAGCCACCAATTGTCTGGCCAAATTTTGACACTATAAAGGACTTTAGTAACATATTGAAGAAGACATGTAAAGAAAGGAAAAGGAGATGTTGAAATATTTTTGAAGTAATAGAAATATAGCAAGTGTAAGATATCAATGTTTTACCGTGCATATGTGGCATATTTGAGTACCCCCCGGTAGCTAAATATTTCTTGTTTTGACAAGTATTTTTTTGTCTTTACACAACATCTTTTTATGATCCACTCAAATCCAAAGTCATGTTACGCTTAATTATTTAATTTTGATTTCATCTACAATTGCTTAAACAAATGTTATCTAATGAAAAAGAGAGAAAACATTGGGTTTACAAGTCGCTGATCCGTGCTATAATCATTGTTTTAGGTGAGCTGGAAACAGGCATCACGGATGTTCTACTGCCGCTGGATCTAGGCATCACCGACACGCTGATGCCGCTAGATCTAGGTATCACCGACATGCTGCCTCCAGACGACATTGTAACGGGTAGACTCTATACATCTACCATGGCAGACCTCCCTGTGCTGAATAAGTCCAAGGATGGGTTCGTGGAGCAGAAAGACAGCAGTGGAAGTGACTCCTCCCAATCACAGTCGGTGACTAGTTACAGCGTTGTCAGTAACTACAGTAATTACAGCATGACTGAGTCTATGCTGGAGAGCACGGTATGTATACTCAACAGCAGGCCCCAGTAGTACTGTAATTTAGCAGTTATCATATTGTAGAGCTATCGTTCGTTGTTGGACTAAAGTATGATTGCTCTGACAGAAACTTCCTTTTATTGTTTTATGTTGCATTAACATGTATTGTGGGTTCGCCAATTCATCAATGCACAAATCTGCTAAAATCTGAGTGCGCTGAAATAAGTATGTTTACAGAGGACACTACCAAAACAACTTGCGTTCATAGGGCTGTGAACACATTGAGAATAGTATCATTTTGACTCTACTCATCTCATTTTATTGAGACCAAACAAATATTTAATAGAAGTAAGGCTGTTCCAGAATTATTGCTTTCACTGATGATACAAACAAAAAACTACTGTGTTGCAAATATTATGGGTAATTGTAAATTTAAATTGTAAAATTTACTCAATATACACATATTAAACAGACTTTTTTCAGTATTTGATTTTTGTTTTATCGGTTTATCATCCTATGAACATTTAGGGTAATTTAACGACATGCCTCAATGTCTTGTCATATAAGTTTGTGAAATAATCATTGTTTTATGTCTGTTGTTTAAAGATGTCCGAATATGAAGTCAACTGTTCAGGGATAAACCTCTGAAATCACAAAATTAACATGTTGTATTGTACAGTTGTATTGAGTGTCAAAGGTTTCCAGAAATATCTAGATGTTTTAGGTGTGAAAAATGTGCATAAGCCAATAGAACCAATAGGCTGTTGATATTGGTATAATGTATTGTAATAATCACACTGCTTTGGCAATGGTGCTATTTGTAGCGACGAGAAGTAGACGGCCCACTAACGGTAAAGAAGTTGTGCTTACTGCTGGACATTCCTTGCCTACGGTGGTTGGAGTTCCAGGTCAGGAACGACCGTTGTAGCATTCTCCCGGGAGAGGTAAGCTTTATTTTCGTGTCTGATGTTTTACTTTTGAGTGAAATTTGAATGTAGTATTCTCCCAGGAGACGTAGGTTGTTTGTTTGTGTCCGATGTTTGACATTTGATGTTATATTCTTCCAGGAGAGATACGTTGCATGTTTTTGTCTTGGATGTTTGATATTTTATGTGGTTTTTCTCCCAGGATACATATGAGCTGTTAACATGGTATAGCACCCTCCAAGAGGTACACTGGTAGAGGTGAATTAAATAGAACATAGTGTGGTATAAATATGCTGTAATACCTTTTCAGTGTTTTCATTAAAAGCCGGTAGCTGCCAAAAGGAGCCCAAATTTATCAACTTTGAACAAGCTATTTTTTTCACGATAAAGCAGGTCAACAGCATATATAGAATGTGGACATTTTACTGGCTATCCTTTTCAAATCAACCACCTATTTCAAAACTTAGTGAGAATACTGGTGATAATTTATTATATGCCTGATGCTAATTCCCAGCTCTGATTGGAGGAGCAATGTCATGGTACGAGTCTGTATGTCTTACAGACCACATTCTAAGAACAGTAACAGTGTTACAGATCATTGCTAAAAATGGTTGGAGTATTCCAGTTTCCATGTCTGCCAAGAATTAAAATAAGTGTTGCAAACTGTAAAAGACTGACATTGTTTGATTTTGACGAGGGATGGGTGGGTTGAATGTAAAATATCATATAATAAAACAATTTTTGGACTTCATTTTCAGTCATGATTTATGGACTTAGTCTGAGCAATATTCTCCTCGGCCTTAGCCTCTATGAATATTGATTTCATGGGAAAGACCTCTCTTGAAGTCCATAATTGTATAGTATAATTGTTGCCACCTGATCAAGTATTCTCCCTGTAGACCCTTGAACCAGACATGCACACCCTTACGCATACAAACACATATCTGCTACAAAGGACACCTACAAATATTCATTCTTCCCACACACAATAATTCAATCTCCTTCCCATAGCACACACACACACACACACACACACAAAATCACTAAATAATCCCCTTTTTTACACCTCCGTACAGGTTCCCAAGGGTATAAACATCACTATTGATGGAACTCTTGTACAGTTAAGGAGAAGAAGAAATGTCCTCAAATAGGTCACCGTTGCTTTCAGGTTTATAACTGTGTGTCAAAGTTTAGTAGTTGTACATATGATAAGTTGGACCTTTTGATATTTTCTATGCTGTAGGCAGGATTACATTTAGTTGTTGGCATGAATTAGAAAAAAAATGATGAAATATAATACTTGAAATATGCACAAAAGCAATGTTTGTTTTCCAGCAAGTGGATGCTTCTGAGCTGAGGAATGTGTTACGAGCCTGTGCAGTACAGTGTCCATTCTACTTGGTCCACTCCCACATCTATACCCAAGCTGTCAGACAGGCTGACCTGTAAGTAGCCTCAACCACCAGATAATCTTCACATCATTATAATAAAGTACATCTATATATACTCAAGCTGTCAGACAGGCTGACCTGTAAGTAGCCTCAACCTCAAACACCAGATATACTTCACATCATTATATAAGTACATCTATACCCAAGCTGTCAGACAGGCTGACCTGTAAGTAGCCTCAACCTCAAACACCAGATATACTTCACATCATTATAATAAAGTACATCTATACCCCAGCTGTCAGACAGGCTGACCTGTAAGTAGCCTCAACCTCAAACACCAGATATACTTCACATCATTATAATAAAGTACATCTATACCCAAGCTGTCAGACAGGCTGACCTGTAAGTAGCCTCAACCTCAATACATCTACTACCCAGGAAGATTCTACAATGTAACTAACTGCCTTATGTACAGTTTTACATGTATCCAGAGTTTGTCACAGTGACCATAGAAACAAAATAATTAAAATCAAACCTCTCAAGACTACTTCGTTACCTTCACCGAGTCTCAGATGGGTAATGAAGTAGTCTTGAGAGGTCTGATTTGAAATGAGAAAGCCATAGAAAGCATTCAAAGGAAAAAGACAATACACCAGCTAGAATCAGTACAAAGATTTTTTTGATTTTTTTTTTGTGCTTTAACTTTAGGCAAATTTTAATTTCCATAGCCATTCTTATTCTGATATATATGTAAACATTTTAATCTGCCTTCTTTGGAAAGCAGACGACAATATCTGGATATTTGCTTCCTTTTTAAATGTATTCATGGGCTGTTTGACTGTTCGTTTTTAGGAGAAAAGATTGGTATTTTAGTTATTCATCGTGCAGTAAGACCTTTTAACAGAAATGCCTGTGAACTTGACTGTACATTTGACTGTACCTTGCCTTCTTTTAAGTCTCGCCTAAAGGCAGTATGTTTTAGATGATTATTATGCTTCTGTATGCATGCTACACTTTTCTTAATATTGTTTGTATGTATTTATCTGTGATATTTTATTATACTTTTGTTATCATTGTTATCAGTTCTGTAATTGGACCCTTTAATAGGTCAGTTGAATTGAAATCAATAAATAAATAAATAAATAAATATACTTTTTCTAGAAAAAAATGTATATTTAAGACAATGGAACATTTTCATATTGACATACTTTGTTTTGATATCAATACTGTTCTTTAATAGGAAGAAAGAGAAGACAGATGAGCTTGACATTATTTTCACACAAGAAGAGGGCAAGCCTGAGTTGTTTAGGGCAGTAGAACTGGGCTCAGACCAACAAGTAAGACAAAGCAGTTTATAGTTCACTGGCCTGAAAAGTCAAGTGGCAGATATTATTCCTGCAAGGGCAAGTCATGTTTTTCACATTTTTCACATTTATAAAACTTTGCCACCTGATACCTGTTATAAGGTTAAGTACTTCAGGTTTATGTGGAAAATGGAATTGAATGGAAGCAATTACTACGAAGTTGCAGTGGCAAAACAAAATGTTATGTTGAAGATTATGAACAGTGGTTAAGTTTTAATTTGCATACAGACATGAATGATTTCACTTAATGACATTCTTCAGACGTCCTTCGCAAGTTGATTTAATATAAGGAGGCAAACCTAACGACACTTAGTAAATATGTTTTTGTTTTATTCCGGCCATTAGAGAAAAAGTCTACGGGAGAAAGTATTGGCTTGTTCCAAAGTGAGCTCCCTACTTGGCAAAACGCAGTGGAAGAATGTGCGGACAGAGGCCACCATTCAGTACAGGGAAACCCTAAAAGATCAATACAGTCGTCTACAGAGCCAGGCTTCTGACGTCAGGACTGCACTGCAGCAGTCGCAGGGGCTTCTTACAGCCTTAGACACAGGTTAGATTAAGCACTGCACTACAGCAGTTACAGGGGGTTCTTACAGCCTTGGACACAGGTTAGATTAACCACTGCACTACAGCAGTTACAGGGGCTTCTTACAGCCTTGGACACAGGTTAGATTAAGCACTGCACTACAGCAGTCACAGGGGGTTCTCACAGCCTTAAACACGGGTTAGATTAAGCACTGCACTACAGCAGTCGCAGTGGCTTCTTACAGCCTTAGACACAGGTTAGATTTAGCACTTCACTACAACAGTCGCATGGGGTTTTTACAGCCTTAGACTAAGGTTAGATCTAGCACTGCACTACAGCAGTCACATGGGGTTCTCAAAGCCTTAGACACAGGTTGGATCTAGCACTGCACTACAGCAGTCACATGGGGTTCTCACAGCCTTAGACACAGGTTAGATCTAGCACTGCACTACAGCAGTCACATTGGGTTCTTACAGCCTTAAACACAGGTTAGATCTAGCACTGCACTACAGCAGTCACATGGGGTTCTTACAGCCTTAGACACAGGTTAGATTTAGCACTGCACTCCAGCAGTCACATTGGGTTCTTACAGCCTTAAACACAGGTTAGATTTAGCCCTGCACTACAGCAGTCACATGGGGTTCTCAAAGCCTTAGACACAGGTTAGATCTAGCACTGCACTACAGCTGTCACATGGGGTTCTTACAGCCTTAGACACGGGTGAGTTCTAGCACTGCACTACAGCAGTCACATTGGGTTCTTACAGCCTTAGACACAGGTTAGATTTAGCACTGCACTCCAGCAGTCACATTGGGTTCTTACAGCCTTAGACACAGGTTAGATTTAGCACTGGTGTGTATACTAGAATTACCATGAATGTCTACCGTCTGCAAAATCTTGTCCAGACAACTCCTCCTAAACTTGAGCACCTATTTCAACAAAACTTAAAAGATATTATAATAACCCCCTGATGTTGTTCATCCAGGTAAAAAAAATGTCTTTTTGAACCTTTTTTTACTGAGTTTTGGCCTTTTGTTAAAAACTCCTTGTCCGGACAACTCCACCAAAACTGCTAGGGTAATTTCAGATACAATACCAGTAGCTACTCCCTGTTATTGTGCATCAAGGTATTTTTTCATTCTGACCTTTTTAGCTCGCATATTCGAAAACGACAGGCACTATATCAATGTTTTACTATACATGTGTTTCTATTGATAGTTGCAGTATTATTATAACATACATAGGTGAGCTATGCTGTTCTCCGACAGCTCTTTGTTTTATTGAGTTATGCCCCTTTGTTGAAAAACTTTTGTCTGCCTTTTTTAAAAACTTCTGGGCAGATTTCAACAAAAGTTTACAGATATGCTAAATATTCCCAGACGTTGTGCATTTAGGTAGTATTTTTATCTTCCTACCCTTTTTATACAGAAGTATTGTTCTTTTGTTTGAAAAACTCTTCCTGAAGTACTGGGCTGATTTCAGTGAAACTTTACAGATATGATAACTACCCCGTCATTATGTAGTTGTGTACTTGCTATGTGGGATGCTGAGGGTATCTTAGTAAGCTTTTGGATAACTATTCTAGTTCAAGATGTTTTTCATTTTTGTATGTAATTTAGTTGTTTGATCAGCTAGTCATGATGTCAAACAAAAGTGTTTGATAACATGTACAGGGTGTGTGATGCGACTTGTATCATTGTTGAACTACAGCTTGGTCAGACCTGGACACAGAAGAGACAGAGCTGGAGAAGACTAGGCTCCCCTCTGAAGAGGAAATTCAGCAGTGGAAGCTGGCACAACAGGAGTTGTCTATTAAAGTGGCAGGTGTGTACGAATGCTTGATAGTTTTACAGTGTAAACATCTCGTACCCAATTTCAGTCTCGTGAAGGACAACTTATTCTTTGAGGTCTAAATTTCAGGTTTCAGAAAAGGTGATTGTGAAAAGAAAAGCTTCAAATAACCCGATATCTTTCTGTTGATGAAGATGAACTTTCATGCTGATCTTAAGGACTATGAGTGAAGATTATATTGTTTGAATTAATTTCTTACAAAATAATATGTTACTTCATATGCTTACTTGTACTACTAAAACTAATATAATACCTGTATTTGCCGTGCAGATCTTCAGGAACTAGAAGTGGAGCAGACGAAACTAACAAGGTAAACCCAGTCATCATTTTGTATACTTCTTACATATCTAACACTTACCCCTACAAGGTAAAAGAAGTGGGGGTATTATACCATATGTACGAGTGTTCATTTACACCTTTTACTTTGCATGTATGTTTTGTATGGGATTTATGGGTATCTGACAACTGATGATTATCACAGCTTTTGAATTCGCTGTATTTCTCTATTAAATCTTGAACAAGGAAACGTAGTATCAAGACAAAGAAGTTAAAGAAAACAGAGACAATACCCTTTGTAATAGTTAAACACATTATTTTCATCGAGTGATGGTTGTGTTACTGTTTACAGTGACCGAGACAGTATCCACTCTGAACTAGCTATGCTCAGGGATAGAGATCAGCAGTGTAATGGTGGACAAGGCCAAGATGTGAAGCAGATGTTGGAGAACTTGAAGGAAGAGTATGAAGAAGTCGCCACGGATCTGGGTTGGATGGAAAGGTATACCGAGAAGAACTTACATTTTACAGAATCAATTGTGAGGAGAGTCAATTTCAAGTCCAAATTTCTTGTGAATCTTTCTCGAGTTAAAGTTAATAGACGAGTTACATTTTAGTGGTTCATTCCTAGCAAAAGGTCTTGCATAGCTGTTATAAGAATTTCTAATAACTGTTTGAAATGCGTTACAATTCCTATTTGACGAAGACTTGCTACATTATAGGTGCCTGGAGTGGAGGACGTACTGTTATGAGAAGGAGGCTGTGTCTTACCTATTATATGATGACTCCCTCCTGTTGGAAACTACCCTGGACACCAGTCACCACCGCCGCCTTCTATCAGCTACTCTCACATCCTCCCTCGAGGACACGCCCTCCAAACCAGTCAGTCACTTCTGTAGGTAGTACAGGGACACATCTGCCCTACCCTCCATCTGTTGCTTTGCTCATTATGTAAAGATTTCTCTCAATTAAAGACCTCTTCCTATACTTTTCCAAATCTGCTTGTTTTTACTGATGGTTTTTTAAATTTGTATAGATTATTTGATCCCAGTCACGTTTTGTTCACAAATATGTTACAGTTTATTAAGTCATAAAAAAATTTGAGAAAGTATAAATTACTTTGCGTTATTTTATTTCAATGCTTATATTGATCTGTATTTCAAGGTTTACTGAACACCATGTTAATACATAGCCAGGCACCAGAATCATGAAAGAATTGAAATGAAGTCCAAAGTCGATATGTTTAATTGTTCAATTCCATGTTAATGTACGTATATAACAAATATGACATTTCACCAATTTTAGACGGAGTTTTAAAAGAAATATTTATCAATATTGGAAATATGGACTTGTGTCTAAGACTGTATTTCACAGTCCCAGGGACAGGAGGCCTAAGAAATTAGTGTGACCAATATTAGGAGATGATTGCTTGTCAAGGAAAACGGTTATGTTGTTGATTGTTCGGTGTAGACTTGGAAGGCAATATACAGTTACATGTGAGTGAAGAATATTTAACACCACTGAAACAAAATTTGCGTGTCTTTCGTTGTTGCAGCCGATAAATCTGAAGACATCATGGGCCTGATGCATCGACTGATAATTAAAAGTGTTAAGGAGCAGAACATTCTGACCAAGTTCATAGGAACACCACTCGAGGAACAGTATAAGGTATATATATGTAGTGCAGTGTTAAAAAACTTTCCACAGGTAAATTTGTGATCATTTGTTATGCTCCCTGCTAAGAAATGGAGCATGATGGTGTGTTTCGTCAATCAGACTGACCATATGACCAGTACAACAATGTGTTTTCTACCACCTTCATTTGTGGTTAAAATTTTCTGAAACTGGAAAGTTTTACATGGTGGCAGGGGCATACATGTCATACAAATATTCTCAAGTTCTTCAGGGTTTTTTTTGGGTTTTTTTAATATAATTACAACAACTTTTAACATGTATCATGATTGTGATGTGTCATCGCAAAAATTTGCCCATTACAATATTGTGAACAAGATTGATATTACCTTTCTAAAAACAGGGTGTTCCGTCTGACTTGCCTTGTCTTGGGGACACTCATCCAGAAAAAGTATAAACTATTGACAGTGTTTAAAACAGACCCTTTTGAGTGATTGAATTAAAGCCGAATTCAATTTATTTTCTACAATATCAATCTGCAGTTTTTCCAACTTCATTTATAAAAGTTACAGAAATTCAAAATTGCATTTACCCTTATGAGCACAATTATTATCCTTGGCACTGTTGAAGCAATATGAGCACTAGTCAAGACATATTTGTTTCCTAAATATTGTTCTGATTTATGAACAAGAGGCCCATGGGCCTTCACGGTCACCTGATATATTTATACAGAGAGTTGATTTTGTTTGTAACATGAACAGAAATATTATTCAAAGTGACAAAAAACAATAAAACCACCTTACTCAATATCTAGCATACAGATTTCAGACTAAAAAGGATTGGAAACAAGCACCTTTGCTTCTTAACAAGGAAAATGAAGAAATTTTAGCACAC